GCTTGGGTGCCTTTCATCCTCTCTCCAGGTTCATAGGGTTTCCGGAGGCAAGCTATTATGGAAGTGGATGCCACTCCTCCTTCCAAGCTTGTTTTAATCGGGGAGCTCCACCCCACTCTCTGTCCACAATGAGTAGCCAGCCATTAATGTATTTGACACATCAGTGTCACAACTTGAAGAGGTAGAATTAAAAAAATAACATGCTGATGGATTTTTTTGTGATTTCCAGCTTAATCTCTACCCTGATTAGGGACCACAGCTCATTAAGTTGAGTCTGACCTTGTTATATAAACCTCTTAAATCAAAACTATCTGAGACAAAAAAAAATTAGGGAAAAGAGCTGCTTTCATGGTAAGAATTGTCAGCATATTTTGAAGAGACTAATTAAGAATTGTCAAATCAACCTGGTATTTTCAAGTAATAGTATAACATCTGTATTATTTGTACTTTTAAAATTTTATACTCAAGATTTATAGTATGCATTTGTTGTTGTTGTTGTTTATACACCATTGAGTTGGAATTGACTCATAGTTGACCATCCAGAGGGTTTCTAGAGTTGTTAATCACAAGAGACTGACCATCTTTCTCTCTCAGCGTCACTGGTGGATTTGAACCATGTGCCTGTTGGTTGGCAGCATAACTCTTTCCCTCTAAGTCAGAGCACACTAGAACTCTCTAATATTGCTTTAAAACACAGTAAATCCTTGTCTTTTGGGTTATCAGGGAGCCCTGGTGGCAAGAAACTGTGCTACAATCCCAAAGGCATGTGATTCCACTCCATCAGCTGGTCCTCGGGAGAAGGATGGGCAATCTCCCGTTTCTCTTCATAGTATTCTTTTTATTTTGCCAGTTAAAGCTTCAAATTAGTTTCTCTAGAAAAGAGCTGGGCAGCCAAGTTAGTTGGTTGGTGCTGTTTTAACTCTGTCCAGCAAATGCAGGACATTTTGAGCCTTCGCGTCTTCTACTGTTTAGTTTAACTGTGCCATTTAGAAAATTGGTCAAGAAATGAAATTGGAGGTCATGCTGGAAAATCACTTTTTCAATTACAACTTGCCAATCTTAGCATGTTATTATGCTTAAATAGAAAGGTTTGCATTCAGAATGCCCTCAGGGGAGAAGAGCAAGATAGAAATAGCTGGGCCCTTTCCCAGATGATTGTCTTTGGAACTTGCACTTCATGTTCTACATTGAGTTCAGAAATGATTTACAGTTCTGATATATGCACACCAAGATGCCCAGTTAACAAATGAAAAGCATAAATGCTGGCCCATTTGACATGTTCTAAATAAGTACGTTTTTAAAATTTCTGGTTTTTCCTATTTTAAATTAGTGTGCCAGTCCTTACCCCATACCAGGAGCTATCATCTTTGTAGGAGGAGTTTACCAGAACATCATTCTTTTTTAACTAAAACTAAAATATTCCCTATCTCATTCTTCCCTATTTTATTTGAAATCACTGGGAGTTCATGAGCTCTTTCTCTGTCATGGACTCATCAGTTGTGCTCAAAGACATGGTCTCTTTAAAGGAAGAGCCTGGTTAGCCCAGAATCATACTGGATTATAACTCTCCTGGGCTTGACATTTGCCTGATCCAGCAGAATGCTGTCTGAACAGGCAGGGAGCCTCCGAAGGCCAAACCTGCTGCATGTAGCCCCTAAATTCATCCTGCTGCCAAGGTGCTGAGCCATAAAGCTATCCAGACTTCTCAAGAGTTGGAATTCAAATCATTGCGTGCCACCGAGTTGATCCTGATGCATAGCAACCTTGGTGTTAGGTCTGGCGAGTATGACTCCTGTGAATTCAGGCCTGAATCCAGTGTCCTGTCCTGTGCCAGCCTCACAATATCTGACACACTTGAGCCCATTATTGCAGTCCACAGTGTCATTCCATCTCGTTGGGGGTCTTCCTCCCCTCGCTCACTCTCCACTTTTTCAAGCATGATGTTCCTTTTCAAGGAAGAGCCTCACTTAGCCACATGTCTGAGGTAGGAGAGAGGAAGTTAAATTGCCCCGTCCCTAGGCTGTATATCTCTATGGGGGCAGCTTGTTCCGTCTTTGTCCCATTGAGTAGCTGCTCACCTTTCAGTTAATAGCCAAGGGCTTTAGCTACTATATCACCAAGGCTCCTTGGAATTCTAGGAGTCTGTGAAAATGCAGTGGTAGTCCCTCCAGGAAAGGAACCAGGACTTGTTCAACTTGGTATCACACAGTGCCTGCCCCAGAATAAGCTCTCTCCAAGTGATGAACTGCAAGAATTACTAGGATTAACATCATCTATTTAATCACATCACTAACATAAAAAGAATAACAACAGGACAGAAGACACTGAGATGTGCATTCACGTAGAAAACGCTCCTGGCTCATGCTTGCCGCTGTGTGCATGGTCAGTGCTCACTCACCCCTGTCCTCTCTCTCCAGGTGTATGACCGGGTGGCCAGGGAAGTGGTGTTACCCATGGAGAAACGCCTTGACCGACTCATCTCTCACTGCGGCCCAGTGACAGGTTGCATTTTTGCCTTGTTGGCTGTCTTCAACTTCCTCTTCCTCATCTTCCTGCGGTTTATGACCCCAGATTCCGTCATTGACATTGCAATAGATGCTACAGGGCCGAAAGGGGCCTGGACTCGCCAATATTACAATAACAAAAAGGGCCAGAACAGTGAGTTTTCGAAAAGCAGCTAGAAGCAGCCCGGGCAGTAGGGTTCTAAACATCTACAATAGCTCCTCTGAGACTGTTGAAAAGAAGCTTCGTTTTTGTTTTTGAAAGTTAATTTAGTAAGTTATGCTACCTCTTTATCATTCAACATTTTCTTTTCAAGCAAGATTTTAAAATCAACAACAAAACAAAAACAACTTATGCAACCCCTGAGTGGAGAAACTCCTTGCACTAACTATAATTTGAACATGAACATTTAAGCCACTCAGGTATGGAATTTTTCAGACTACTAAAATCCCTCTAGCTGAAATGTTTCAACATTCTATTTTGGGGAACCTTGGGTGCTGAATGGCCAAATGTTTTTCTGGGTATTTTTTGGCCAATTTTTAATGTTAGATCACTCATTAGACATTCACCAGATGTTTACAAGTTTTCTTTAGGGAAATGCAACAACTTTGTGAACTGTTTTGGGTTGTTCAAGAAGTGTTCCATAGAATCAGCAGGTCTCTCCAGTAAAATGGTCCGTTGTGTATCTGCATCTTTTGAGCACCTGTTCTCTTAGAATAAAAAGCTGGATACTTCCTGCTGATATGGACCAGAGGTATGTTCCCTCTTTGTTTTGTGCTGACATGGCTCCCTGGTAGGCACAATAGACATGCCATGGTGTAAAACAGCTAGCATGTCCCAAACGGCTGGCCTCATCTGAGCACTTCTGTGACCCCAGTGTATACATTTTCCTAGGTAGCGCCTTTGTCTTCAGTTTTCCTGAAAAGCCTTTTTACATTGGAAATACTTAAGGACCGATATCACTGTTGATGAGCGTGCAGCGAAGTCCCCCATCGTTCTGTGCGTGATTTCGTCTTTTGTAATTGCCTTCCTGTGTTCTGAGCAGAACACACACGGTGTGCCATCCCCAAGTCAGCTGCTACCCCTCACCTTTGCTCTAAGTCATTACCCCTCACTTGTGGCCTCACTGATGTCGAGAAGTATTGTTAGTGTGCAAAGTCCCAACCCTGCAATGGTTCTGTTTATATTGAGCTGAGCCTGAACAGGTTGGGTGGATATTGTTAATTGTTGTAATGGTTGCCCAGAGCCATGGGTTTTTAAACCCCAAATTAGCCACACCGTGTGTATTCTTCTTTCTTTGAACTTCTTAGACTGTTTTTGTGAAGAAAGACTTAAATGGCAAGGACTAGGCCAGATGAATATGTGGGCCAGTTGAATCTTGTCAGTATTGTGATTCTATACAGGATTTTTTGAATAGCATTCACAAAGCTTGAAAGTATCTTTACCTGACTAGGAACTGATTGCCATTGATTTTTTATTTAAAAAAAAGAAGAACTATATTGTGTGTTTTTTTGTACTAAAACACAAATGCAAGAGTGTAATTTCTAAAATCTAGAAACCATCGAATCTCATTAGAGCTTTCATTGGAAGACACAGAATTCCATTAGTAGGAAATGTCACAGTGCCAATACTTATGATAACCTGAGAAACCCTAACATCTGTTTTTATTTATTCAGTGGGTTTTAAAGGTACACTACAGTGCTTTTTTTTTGGGGGGGGGTTCTGTTTCTAATTGTTAATGTGTACTTGGTGGTAATTATTTAAGACAGAAGATTTAAAGTTATCTGGGCATTTAAAATACATCATTTAGAAATTAAAAGAACTTTTCTTGGTTCTGTCTAAACAAATGGAGAGTAACTTTGTCTGTCTTCGGTTCATCTTAATGTTCAGGCTTCCTGGATACCTTAATTATAACTCAGCATTGCACTGGTCAGTATGTGAAAGCATATTGTGTTAATCCTGCTACTTCTATTTATTTGAAAAGGAACTTATTACAAGGATGAAGACTTTTAAAAATATATACTGTATTTCTTTTAATAGTATAAAAAATTTCACACGTGTAAAACTGACTAAAACATGCTACATGTCCAAAAATAAAGCCCCAAATGGCATTTTAACAATGTTTCTGAGTCTGTCTTGTTTTACAGATAAGATATTATTTGCTATCAGAATTCCATACCACCACTTCTACCAGTACCACCCCCAGCTGACTTTTCCAGTGGAATTTGATATGGGTTAGTCAGTAGTGTCATGAATTAAATTGTGTCCCCCCAAATACATGCATTGAAACCATGAATGAATGAAAATCCAGCTTTTCTGTAAATTTTCATTAAAATCACAGCAAAAAAGTAAAATTGTTTATAACAACAACAACCAAAAAAACCCAAAATATGTGCAGGATCATACAGAAGCTATATAATAGTTCCTCTTGTTGTGTTCAATAGTTGTAAAAGGAGTCAGGGTGGAATATAACACCCCTCAGTCCCATCACAGCCCCATTAGATTTCGATAGGCTGTGGCCTCTCACTAGAGAGAAAAGAAAAGGAGCACTAGGTGAAAGCAGGGACCTTGAGACCCCCAAGAAAGAACTCCCAGGAGTGGAGCTCATCCTAATGGACTTGGGTCTCTGTGTAAGAATGCTCCTCGACATCTGGATGGCCAAGGTACACAGATCTCCAAGGAACTCCAGATGCTGAAGGATGCAAAGACCTTCCCCCAGAATCAACCAAGAGGTAGGACTCTGAATTTGCATTTCTAGCTTCATACACAGGATAAATTTTTAAAGCCATCCACTTGGAATAGCTCTGTTACAGCAGCACTAAGTGACCAAGACAGCAAACAGACAGGGCCATATTTTATTTCTAGGCTATATTCTCTCTCGTACTCACAGAGTAAGTTCAAATTGTGACTTTGCTCTCTGATTTAAGCAGGCCTTATCTTTCACAGCATGAGAATTATGAAGCAGACAGTATATCTAAACTATTAAGGACTTTGTATCTTGTGAACTATTCGAGATGAATTGGATTTTTTTTTTCTTTCCCTAACACTGGAAAATTTCTCTTTTAAATACTGTGACTTGCTGTCGAGTCGATTCTGACTTCTAGTCACCTCGTGGGGCTATGAGAATAGAACTGTATCGGGCAGAGTTTTCAAGGCTATGACTTTGCAGAAGCTGACCACTAGGCACGTCTTTTGAAGTACATCAGTAGGTTGCAACCACTGAAACTTAGCTTGTGCTCACAAGCGTAAATGCTACCCAGGGATCCCAGCAATTGGAATTTTGACCTCTTTTCCAGAAACCTGGCCTCTCCCACCCCTTTGACTGGAAGCAGTGGGAAGCAGGCCCTCTAGTCATAGGTCTTGATCATCCTACTCAAACACTTGTCAGAAGAGTGTGAGTATTAAAGGCCTATGTTTACTCCTGTGAAGTCTTTTTAAAGGCTTCCTCATCGTTTTCATTCCCAAAAGAATCTGTCTAGATGTTCTATGCAGGATTGGAAAAAAACCCATTGAGAACCAGCAAAAATGCAGATGACATAGCTTTGCTTACTCAAAGTGAAGGGGATTTGAAACACTGATGAGAATCAAAGACCACATAAAACCTTCAGTATGGACTACACCTCGACATTAAGAGAGCCAAATTCCTCACAAATGGACCAGTATACAACATCATGATACAAGGAGAAAAGATTGAAGATGTCAGTGTCATCTTACTTGGATCCACAATTGATGTTAAAACTGATGGTAGCAGTCAAATCAAGACATGTTACATTGGGAAAATCTGTTAAGGACCTCTTTAAAGTGCTAAAGAGCAAGGATATAAATTTAAAGACTAAGGGGTAACGAGTACAAGACCCAGTATTTTCAATTGCTTCATATGCATATCCGATTCGTCTCTTATTTGGATTATTTGTGTCTTTTCCTTCTTTTGTTAGTTTTGCTAGTAGTTTTATCGATTTTATCGACCTTTTCAAAGAACCAGCTCCTAGTTGTGTTGATGGTTTCAATTGTGTTTCTGTTTTCTATTTATTTCTGTTCTAATTTTTATAATTTCAGTTTTTTTAGAGGGTGTCGGGTTTTCTTGCTGTTCTTTTCCAAATTTTTGGAGATGTTGGATTAGAGAGTCAATGGTCATTTTTTTCTGCCTTTTGATGTGTTTGCTTATGGCTGTAAATTGAACTCTGATTGCTGCTTTGGCTGTTTCCCAGAAATTCTGGTAAGTGGTGTTTTCATTGTCATTTGTTTCAAGAAACTTTTTAATTTCATTTTTTTATTTCTTCTAATACCCAGTCATCTTCAAGCAAGCTGTTGTTCAGCTTCCAATTGTATGGTTTTTGTCCTCCTTTATCCTCTTGTTATTAATTTCTAATTTTGTGGCATTGTGGTCTGAGAAGATGCTTTGTATTATTTCTATGTTTTTAAATTTATTGATGCTTGCCTTGTGACCTAAAATGTGAACTATTCTGGAGAACGTTCCATGCACATTGCAACAAAAGTACTGAAGAATTAAACCACACAATAAACCAACTCAGTCTCATAGACATTTATAGACTAATGCACCCCCAAAAAAGCACAGTATATAAGATCATTGGTGACAATTCTATCTCCTATTTCACTGGTTCTGTGTTCTTTCGCTTTCAACTCTGTTCAAGTATCCCTCCATCCTGTTGACAGCATCTGTAACTTTGGACCTCATATTTTGGATCATGGTTTTTTGTTTTTCCACAGTCTCTAATGCCTCGTTTCTTTTTTCTACATTGTTTTGGATTGCTTTTTTTGTTTTTTAAAAGCCCCTCCTGGTTTTTGCTTACAGTGTCCTATAAGTCTTCAAGTTTGTCTTTAACCCATTGAAAAAATGCAATCATTGTTCTTTTAAAATCTGTATCAGAAAGTTCCATCAGACTTTTTGGTTTCAGGAAATCCGTTGATACTGTGTCACTTTTGGGGCGATGATATCTTGCTTTGGGCTTGTGTAGAAAGTGAGGTAGTCTGTTTCTTTCGTGATATTGCTGTGGTAGATTTTTTTGTGCCTGAGGCAATAGCTGGTTCTTGGTCTAATGTCACTGCTCCAGAAGGTGGTTGGACAGGCGTATGCACATGCACATAGGGTGGGCACGCATGTGGATGCATGTAGGGTGGGTGTACGCATGGGTGCCTGTAGGGTGGGCACACACACGGG